GGTATACTTATAGAATGTTTTGGATCTAAAAAACCCACACACCTACGTATTTAATATCTCTGTTTAATAAGAAAATGAAAACATATAAATGATGATAAAAACAAACTTTTATCTTTTGGACATTTTCTTTGATTTTTCTTATGAAACAATTCTAATGGATTCTTTTTCTCTAACGGTCATTTGGGAATCAATCAATTTCGGGAAAGGACAACATAGATCACATCTGATTCATGATGCCATCTTCTTAACGTACCGATCTCACATTTATAGTAATTTAATTACACAATATTCTATTAATCTTTCAACTTTTTCCATCAGTTTTCCCAAATGCACATGACATAAAGAAATTTCCATTTTTCTTAAACACCTGATACTTTATAGATTTTATGATAAAAGAATGTAATAATACTAGTTTTAAAGAGATAAGTGTAAAAACCAATTAAAAAGACACAATAAAGAGAGAAAAAAGTAGTGTTTAGTTACAAACCTGTCTTGATGAGTATTTTTTTCGGAGTTACTTCCTAAAAAACATTATAAATTCTCCAAGAAAACCCTAAGAAAAGATAATAATAGTTGTAGTAATATAACACACGACGATTATAAAATATAAATTACATTCACCATCACAAAACCTAAACGTAGAGTTAAAACACTCAGAGAATGATCTCTGGCCCCAAGAAGTTTTTTGTTCTGTCTTGGATTCAAAGTCAGTGTATAGAATCTATGTTCTTGCTTAGCTCTTCCAGCTTCTTCATTCTCATCTTCTCGCTTTCTCCCACCAACTGCGAATCATTCAATTTGAAAACGCGTTAAGTCACAAATCAAAGCGAATATAATCGACAAAGATAAGAGTGCGACTAGATTGATGAATATGTTCAGTTTACAGACACAATATGCGAAAATAGGCATGGAGCAAAAGTACTTTTTTTTCAAAATGTAACTCGCACAAACACTAACACATAGCTTTAGAGCAAACAATAGAGACCAGTCAAAGAACTCAACGAGAAAACACTAAAGATCGGATACTGAATCCGCAATATCACAAATTTACCTAACACTATCAGTGTTTGATGCATTTCTGAGAACAGAGCCATATGACTATAATCAGCTTTTATCCACACAGGCAAGGGTAATGTGGAAAAAACCAGACAGAAGCAGAACAACAACTAGAGCAGTTTAACCAATCAGACAAACACAACCTGCAATTTCTATATTCGACAAAAAAAAAACAGATTTGAGCATTTGTTGACTAACCTCCATTAGTTTGGTGATTAGCTGCACCTTCTCCCTGTTCTTTTCATTGAAAGCTTCAAGAGCTTCTTTGTATTCTCGTTCCTGCACGTTGAGTCAATACACCAGCTTAGCATCTTAATCCTCGACCGATATATATTCAATGCGGATAAATGGATCTGATTATGTTTCAGACTTACCTTTTTCTGAACTGTATGAGCCAATGGCTTTAATTCTTTGTTGACAGAATCAATCTTCTTCCTGACCAAAGCAACTTCTTTCCTCATGGGATCAGCTAAACCTTCAAGTTCCTGATATGCAATTTAACAATTGAGCTTCTTAGTCATCAACATATAACAGAAGAAGAAAATGGTTCTTTTCATACAAAAGAAGGAAATTTGATATACAGAGCTCATATCTAGCAAATGGGTTTTACAACTTGTGCTAGAAATGTAGAAACTTTCGCTTTTTATAACCCCCAAAATTGGGGGAAACAAAATAGAACCAGACTAAATCCAGATTCTTGATCCTGAAATGGTTCTTTTCACAAAAAACTTAAACCACAGAGTTTATTTTTAGCAAATGGGTTTTACAATTTGATCTACAAATCTAGAAACTTTCACTGTTTGGTAACCTAGAAATTGAAAAAAAACCCAGAACCAGACTAAATCCAGCTTTTTCTTTCTATTGATCACTTAAATCCTAAATCCAACACAAAATTTTCTTCACTTATGGAACAAATCACACAAAAACCAAAAGAAAAGAATATATTTTTTTTGTTCAATGCAATTGTCAGATCTTGAAATTTCCAACACTTGGGTCCTACAATTTCCTCCTAAACATGAATTAAAACCACATTATTCACTATAACAAAACCCCCAATTACTCAATTTTACATCCCAATTTTTTACATATAA